AGAATCATCCCTGGGGAGATTCCAGCAGTAATCGGCAAGCAGTGAGGGACTCCATCTCCCTTGGCATCTTTTCTCCATGCCTGTAATATTCTGGTGGAATCTGTCCCCATGATCATCACTCACTGCCCCAAAGTTCAAAGGAAAATAGTCTAAATGTGAGTGTAAGAAGTGAATTCTTAGTGACACGTTTGCACCAAGTGCTTTATAGGACCTAAGTAAATTTTCTACCTGTTTTTCAGTCATCTGCCTTGCTGTTCCCGAGAAACTCCATTGCCACGGACTTGAAGGCTTTCCATGCCTTCTTTTCCTTGCCACACAACAGATGATCAAACTTTTCATCTCAGAGAAGTTCTCGAATCTGTGGACTGACAAAGACGCCTTCAGTGATTTTGGCTTTATTAAGTCTTAGAAACTTTTCATAGAGATATTGGAAATCTAGTTTTGTTTTGTCCATAGCCTTTACAAAGTTCTGAGATCCTGACACCACTCTGCAAGAGGTTCCACTGTTGTAATCTGGAGTCCAGTAGCTCTGCCTTACTGTTAGACAATTCCAAATCCCTGACCAGGTCATTTAATTCACCCTGTGAAATTAGATGTGGTTCAGGAGGAGCATACAATGGTTTGGGTCTGCTGATATCAATGGCTGCATCTTGCTCATCATCTTTATCATCATCTGAGTGTAGAGAGTAGGATTCTGGTGGATCTGGAATTGGCAAATCCTCACCAGAGTGTACAGTGCAGATAGAATGTTTGGATATTTCACAGTCCACCTTTTTTCTTGAGATCCCTTTTGCAATTGGGAGAACTATGCAAAAATAGTAGTCGCTACTATGATTGGTAGGATCCCTCCATACCATTGGGACTGCGAAAGGCATGGACTTTTTCTTCTTATTTAGCCAATGACGCAACTAACTTGCACATGTAATGCAACAGTAATGAGGGGCCCAACTCTTGACCTGATCCCCTATTTTACATCCAAAATATAGGTGGTATGCCTTTTTTACCACTTTTACTGCACTTTTGAGATGCAAATGTAATCTCGCCACAAATGTAGCAGAAGTTGTCTATGTGGTTTACAGTTTCAAGGCATCTTGGCTTCTGAGAGAAAATATCCTGCAACTGTTCCTTGGAAATGTTAGGCAATGGCATTTTCACAAGCCACCAGATGTAACTGTATGATGTGTAGATCTGACCAAGACAAATGTATCTTGCAATTAAAGAATAAATTACAGATAGGTATATTTGTCTTTAGTCTCAAAAGTGAAGATAAATTTATACACTTCCATGTGTTACCATTTTCATTGTTTTACTGTACTTTGTTGAGAAGTTATGAGGCATCATGATCATTAGACACCTCCCTTCCTTGTAGGCAAATATACTTTATTGTGTGAAATATCTTGACAACTTTAGCCAACAGCACCTTTATCACCTGTTTTCTAATTCATCTAATCAAAATATGTAAGAATTAACACATTTTATCTCGGAGGTAGATAATTTCCCAAAATTTGTAGAACAGTTCTGATAATGTAATGTCCAAAGTGCTCTCCACAATTTCATTCTCTCCCTGAGGTTACTGCTTAGGCAGTCATGTTTATAAGAGGCATACTATTCTATTGTCAAATATTGAAGTGTTGTAGTAAAGATTTACTGTTTTTAATTGTTTTAGATGGACTCCTGTATCCCTAACATGTAATTTTACATCGGAGTGTGCAAAGAAATCTCAACATTGACAAATGTTTAGAACAGGTATGTCAAACTCATGATGTCATGTGATGTCGCACGATGTATCGGGACATTTTCCCCATTACCGGCAATGGGGTGGGCGCGGTTTTGGTGTGACGCATCCGGCCCGTGGGCTGGCAGTTTGACATGCCTGGTTTAGAATATTCTTACAGCAATGTAGGCATATGCACACATGCATACATACAGAAGTTTAGAATAACCAATTACAATTTGATTGATTGAACTGATAACCAATAAATACAACTTATATTTAGATAACAGCAACCAGTTTAAAAAATAAGTTGTTTTTCAGTTTATGAGCATTTTTAATGTATCAGTATAAGTATGTGATCTATTCTCCATACAGGTCTGCACAACTAAGATGAACCCAATTAAACAAATGAATTTAAAACATTATACATGTTTGTTTATTGAGGAAAATTCTCTAAAGCTATATGTGATGCCAAATGTATGTGAAATTCTAGAATTATCAGCACATTTGAAGGGAAAATTAGTCAAGTGTTTCAATTGAGAAAATAATCAAATCCTGTGGGACACTAGTTACTGAAAGCAACAGTTCACATACTTTTGCTATACACAAATATGTAGCTATAGATAAATTTCCTCAATAAAAAAAGTTTTCACTAATTTGTTTAATTGGGTTCTCTTTATCAAGTTTAAGGTCTTTATCAAGTTTAAGGTGTGATCAAAATTTAGGACATATTTATGCAGGAATATTGGAATTTTAAGAGTTCACAAATTTAAACTATATTTTTCAGCATGAAGAGATGTTTTACTTCTCACATCTTTTACTTTTTCACACAATTATTTCTTTACATAATCCACCATTCTTCAATTCTGCTAAACACAGAATATAATATTTCTTTTTCAGATCAATTAGAGCATTTGGACTTTAAGTGGCATGTTGAAATCACATTCCTACTTTGGCAATGTCCAAGATAAAAAATATTTAATTGAAAAATCTCCATGTATTTAATAGTTTTTCCCTACTACATTAAAATGATAGTTTGAGACAACTTAATTTAAATCATTTGTGGGGGATCTCAGATTTTCAAGGGCCACGTATGGCTCTTAGGACTTAATTGTACACACTTGTTCTAAACAACAGATATTGCAAACTGACAAGGGGGAAATTTTAATCTTTATGTCACACCTGTTAGCTCCCCAGAAAAACAGAATAATATTAAGACTATCCTTTCATTCTTAAAATTTCAAAAGCAATCCACAATTCTCTATAACCCAGTGGGCAGAAAGGAGAAGAAAAAGAGGAGGAAAAAAGCAATCAATCCTATTAGCAGAGGGAGTTCCCATCTCTCATATATTCATTCATATACATACACAACCTAGTTATTCGTGCAATTTAATATTGCATGCACAGACATGTTTACTAAGTGATTTTCTAATAATCTCAATAGACAATATTAAATTGATGAACTCAATTGTATAGAAATTAATTTTAATGAATTTCATTTAACACATTCAGTTTGATGAGAATGATTGGTACACAGCTTATTGCAGTTTAAGCAAAACTTATTTGTCAAACATACAGGTATAAGAATGATTCTTTTTTAGAAAGAGGAGACAAAACAGGTTTTGATTCTGAATTTTATTTTTAGCAGAATGCATTACTAACAAAAGATGTCACCATAAGAAGATAATATCCATGTTCCTCACCTGAAATAGAAGCTGGATATATATTAATGACATGTCACTATCAAAACTGTAAGACATTACCCGCCCTCATGGAGGATAGAAGGATAATAATATTAGTTTTTTGTTATATGCTGTTGAGTAAGAAATTATACAAATTATATAAGGTACACATATGAAGAACTGGTATGTAATCTGAATTTAAAGTTGTTAAATCAGGTTAAAAGTTCTCAATTTTAATAAATAGGTCTATCAGAATCACCAGTGTTCCAATTTCCTGAGGGAAAAAAGTGAACAAATTTATGGCATTCAACCAACATTTATTCAAAAGTACAACTACTAGAATATTTACCACAAATAATGATTGCTAAATAACCTATCATAGTGATGGTGAACCTTTTAGAGACCGAGTGCCCAAAACCTACTTATGTATCGTCAGGTGCCAGGTGGGCGTGGCCCATTGGGTAGGTGTGGCTCATTGGGTGGGCATGGCTCATTGGGTGGGTGTGGCTGCGGTGATAACGGCACATTGGGTGGGACTAAAAAGTTCAATCAATCAATTCCAACTTTGCGAGATCTTTTTTTCCCCGCGAGAAGTTGAAATTGATTGATTGATTGAACCTTTTTTTTTTTGCACACGGCGGCGGAGGCCTAAAGGGAAAAGGTTTTATAATACCCAGCTGAAGGCCTAGGACTGGGGTGACGGCACACGCGCCACAGAGAGGGTTCTGCGTGCCACCTGTGGCACACGTGCCATAGGTTCGCCACCACGGACCTATCATCTTAAAGCTCTATATGTAGTTGACTTATGACAATTCATTTTATAATTGTTTGAAGTTATGATAGCACTGAAAAAAGTGATCTATGATCAGTCCTTGAGCTTATCACTGTCACAATGCCACCATAGCCACTTGATCGATGGCTTGGCAACCATCACATATTTATGACTGTTGCAGCGTCTTGTGGCAATCTATAATTGCCATTTGCAACCTGCTAGCTGGGTTCCCACCAACAAAGTGAATGGGGAAGCCAGAAGAAAAGGTCACAAATTGCAGTCACATGATCTCTCACTTAACAACCAAGGTGATTTGCTGACCATGGCAAAAAAGACTGTAAAATCAGGAGCATTCATGTGATGCCTCACTTTATGACATACAGCTTAATGATGAATTTTCTGGTCCCCATTGTGGTCCTAACAGCTTTTTTCTAAGTAGAATTTTGAAGTTAATAAGTATGACTTTTATACTTTTGTTTTAAAAAATTCAATTTTAAACACTTGAAGTTTACTTCTAAGTTGAAAAAAAATCAACTTGACTTGTACAAAGCATGCAGATAATCTAGCATTAAATTTCACCTCACAAAAGGCTGATAAAAAAAGTATATTTGTGATTTAAAAAAAATAGCAATGCAACTACAAATCGCAAAGGAAACATAAGAATAATACAATTATCAATGGAAGTAGCAGGGAGAGAAGTTTGAAAACCCCTTTTCCCATTTTGGGGGAAGTTGGCAAAGCCTTGAACTTAATCCCACTGAATTCACTGGGACAGGTCTGAGGGGTCATGAACAAATTGCAGTGAGAGTTCCATCAGATTTTTTAAAAATGCATAAATATTAGAAAGAAAGAGATCTGTTAATGTTATGTTTGATATTAAGAATATCTGATATTTGATAACAAAACAAATGCTTCACCCAACATTTTTTCCACAGTGAATGTATGCACTTTACTGTTTAATACTTCAGAAGAGTTAAAACCACCTATTATGAGAAAGCTGAAGTATCTTATGATCTAAACACATCCTGTGGGGAAAAGCAAACATAGTAAAGAATGTTAACTAGGGAAAAAAAGCTGGGGAAAAGAACTACCACAATAAATCACGCACTTCCAATGTTTGTTCTTTCTGTGACAGGATTTCTTTTTGGAATCGTAAGAAATCTGATAACATCTGATTTAGTTGTTTTCTATCATCAATTTCAGCTGCCAACCTGCCATTGTAATCCGCCAGCAACATACATGAATCATCTACCATCTTGGAAAGCTGTTCTCCTGATTCTTTGTCTGCAAAGTGAGCAAAAATGTATTTAAAATTCACATTATAAATTATCCAATTAAGTATAATATTCTGATACTAAAATTATAACATAGTTTGCCTAACCTGTGATTCTGTTAAGCAAAGCTGCATCTTGGACCTCTAGAGGTATTGAGGCTATCCTCTGATGAACTGCTGCATCTCCAGAGGTTGCATTTTCTAATTCTTGTAATGCTCTTATAAGATTCATCGTCTATAAAAAATGTGTAAGTTTGAAAAATTACAAAATAACATATTACAAAATAATAATAGAGCTGAGAAAAATTGCAATAGTTATTCTTAATTCAACTGAGAACAGAACCAGAGTATTCTTATTCAGAATACCAACCAATCATGGTTTTTTCCAGGATATTTCATTACATTCTCAATCTCTATCCCAGTTTCTTTTCCCTGTCTGGATTTTTCCCCAATCCACTGCTACTGTGGCTTCTGTATGTGTGGTACTTTTTAAAAAGTTCATAAAAGCTGACTTTTCAATTGATTATAGAATTTCCAAGGATTTTTTTTCCTCACTCTTTTTGTACTTGTACTAAACTTGGGATCTGTTAATATCGGCCTTTCTGTCAGTGTGTGATACAGTTTTGGCAACAGAACTCTAGAGGAATGTAAACCAATGTATCTTCTAGTACATATGCAGGCCCACATTAAAATATCATACTGAATCTCTGGAATTAATTTATTATCTGAGCCCTATGATTTGGGGAAAAGAAGTTGACAAAGCCCCTGCTCTAACTTGATTTTTATTTCATATGCAGTTTAAAAGATTCTGAATACAACTAAGTTCTTAATATGGGTGGAAGGCGATTTGAAAAATTGTTCTGAATTCTTGTAACTAATAATACAGTACATTCCAGAATTGCTGTAAGCTATTCTTTCAGCATAACTTCAAACTTGAAAAGGCTGATTTGCCTATAGTATCAATCACATGGAGGTCATGCTATGCCACTCTCCCTCAATCATATTTTTAAATTTAAAAAGAACAGCATTGCTTCAGAATTTACATTAGCAATTAATTTTAAAAAAACCTAACAGAAAGTAAATTAAAAATAGATAAAAATCTTTAAAAAATATTGCATTATTCCAGCAATGATGTTCCACAAACATAAATTAAAATTGCAAGATACATTATTTTTTCACTGTATTATTTCAAACCAATATACTTTAATCCTGAGCTTGTATTATTTCTTGCAAAGTACGGTATATGGAAATTATTAAAAAAACATATCTGAAGTTATGCTCTATTTTTATAATTACTAGAAACCAGGACACTGATTTGAAAGTAAATCTTTTAATTTAACTTAACATATGTCAGAATTTTAGGTGAAAGCAATTTGCCAATTTTAAATATTTTATACAGTGAGGGAAAAAATTATTTGATGTCCTGCAGATTTTGTATGTTTGCCTACTGACAAAGAAATGATCAGTCTATAATTTTAATGGTAGATTTACTTTAATAGTGAGAGACAGAATAACAAAAAAATCCAGAAAAATGCATTTCAAAAAAATTATAAATTGATTTGCATTTTAATGAATGAAATAAGTATTTGACCCCTTCGCAAAACATGTCTTAGTACTTGGTGGCAAAACTCTTGTTGGCAACCACAGAGGTCAGACGTTTCTTGTAGTTGGCCACCAGGTTTGCACACATCTCAGGAGGGATTTTGTCCCACTCCTCTTTGCAGATCCTCTCCAAGTCATTAAGATTTCGAGGCTGACATTTGGCAGCTCGAACCTTAAGCTCCCGCCACAGATTTTCTATAGGATTAAGCTCTGGAGTCTAGGCCACTCCAGGATCTTAATGTGCTTCTTCTTGAGCCACTTCCTTGTTGCCTTGGCCGGGTGTTTTGGGTTATTGCCATGCTGGAATACCCATCCACAACCCATTTTCAATGCCCTGGCTGAGGGAAGGAAGTTCTCACTCAAGATTTGACAGTACATGGCCCCATCCATTTTCCCTTTGATGCAGTGAAGTTGTCTTGTCCCTTTAGCAGAAAAACACCCCTAAAGCATAATGGTTTCACCTCTGGGTTTGACAGTGGGGATGGTGTTCCTGGGGTCATAGGCAGCATTCCTCCTCCTCCAAACACAGCAAGTTGAGCCGATGCCAAAGAGCTCGATTTTGGTCTCATCTGACCACAACACTTTCACCCAGTTCTCCTCTGAATCATTCAGATGTTCATTGGCAAACTTCACACGGGCCTGTACATGTGCTTTCTTGAGCAGGGGGACCTTGTGGGTGCTGCAGGATTTCAGTCCTTCACGGCGTAGTGTATTACCAATTGTTTTCTTGGTGACTATGGTCCCAGCTGCATTGAGATCATTGACAAGATCCTTCCATGTAGTTCTGGGCTGATTCCTCACTGTTCTCATGATCACTGAAACTCCATGAGGTGAGATCATGCATGGAGCCCCAGACAGAGGAAGAATGACATTTTTTGTTTCTTCCATTTGCAAATAATCGCACCAACTATTGTCACCTTCTCACCAAGCTGCTTGGCAATAATCTTGTAGCCCAGAGGTCTCCAACCTTTCTGGGCTCACGGCCCAGAGGAAAGGAGAGCAGCTTGCAAATTGTTGCACTAGTGCAGCACTAGTGGCCCTGTTCGTGCATGTGCAAACATGCCTGGCGCTATTGCATGCATGAATGGGCCACCCACACATGCCCGGCATTAGTGGGCCCATTCACACATGCACAAATGGGCTGTGCACACCAGCCTGGCACTAGCGAGCCCATTCACACATGCACTAACGGGGTGCGCACACCAGCCTGGCACTAGCAGCCCTGGTTCACGCATGTGTGAACAGGCTCCGCACACCTATCTGGCGCTAGCAGGCCCATTCATGCATGTGCAAATCGGCCACGCACACCCGCCCGGCGCTATTGACCTTGTTCGTGTGCGCACAAATGAGCTGTGCACACCCACCCAGCACTAGCGGGCCCCTTCATGTATGCGTAAATGGGCCACGCACACTCACCCGGGGCTAGTGGCCCATTCATGCATGCGCAAAGAGGCCCCACACACCCGCTTGGCACTAGCGGCCCCACACACATATGCACAAATGGGCCCCGTATACCCACCTGGCACAAGCGGCCCCATTTGTGCTCACACATATGCGCAAATGGGACCGTGGGCGCTAGCGCAAGTGGAGGAGAGTGCGCATGCACATGTGCATGCATCAGCCAGCCACTTCTGCAGCCCGCTGGCCAAGAGGCTGCAGTCTGATAGTGGCTGCGGTCCATAAATTGGGGACCCCTATTGTAGCCCATTCGAGCCTTGTGTACGTCTACAATCTTGTCCCTGGAGAGTTTGGAATTTGATTGATTGCTTCTGTGGACAGGTGTCTTTTATACAGGTAACAAGCTGTTAGGAGGACTCTCTTAAAGAGAGTGTGGTCCTAATCTCAGTTCATTACCTGTATAAAAGACATCTGGGAGCCAGAAATCTTGCTGATTGATAGGAGATCAAATACTTATTTCACTCATTAAAATGCAAATCAATTTATAACTTTTTTGAAATGCGTTTTTCTGGATTTTTTTGTTGTTATTCTGTCTCTCACTGTTAAAATAAACCTACTATTAAAATTATAGACTGATCATTTCTTTATCAGGGCAAATGTATAAAATCAGCAAGGGATCAAATAATGTTTTCCCTCACTGTAAGCAGTTGATTCAAGACTCTAAGCTACTGCAAGCGAATGAATGAATGACTTTTTGCCTAAAGATGAAAAGGATTTCTCATGAATATTTATGTTTAAATGCTTGAATATTAAATGAAAACAGAAAGTGGTATCTATTGATAAAATGAGAACACTCTATTGAGTGAACACTCATCCCTGCCTCCCCTACTGAGATTGATTTCTCTGCACCAATCATGCAGACGACAAATTCACAGCAAGTTCAGTTATTCATTACTGTGTTTCCCCAAAAGTAAACCCGCCCCCAAAAGTAAGTCCCAGCTGATTTTCAGGGGATGGGCCTAATATAAGCCCTCCCCCTGAAAGTAAGCCCTACTTAAGGGTCTGCATGGATGGCCTGCCTATGAAGAGGCGAAGCCGATGGAGGAGGGGGGATCTGACTCACGGTACAGGTATACCAGTTCCTTACCACCGCCCGGCTTGTTCTGCAGCCTCATGGCAGTGGCATTGGGCATGACACATGAGGTGGCAAAAGGCCGGTTTCGGCACAACATGGCCATTTGCCGCTGGCCGTGGCCATTTGCTGCCTCATGCGTCGCACTCAATGCCACTGCCATGAGGCCTGGTGGATCTTCCCCCCTTCTGACCCATGTGCCATTATACCGGTTCCCTACCATTGCCCGGCTTGTTCCACGGCCTCATGGCAGCGGCATTGGGCAGGAGACAGCAAATGGCCGGTTTCACTGCAACGTAGCCATTTGCCACCTTGCGTGTCACACCCAATGCCGCTTCCAGGCCTATCGTATGTTAACTCTAACCCCCACTGCCCCCAACCCTAACAGGAGATGGGAAGCCCTGGGGAAAATAATGGAAAAACTTGGGTGGGGAAAAAAATGGTCGTGTGAGTCAGATAGGGGGGAATCTGCTAGGCCTCATGGCCATGCCATTGGCGACCGCAACACAGCTCAGCCATGGAACAAGTGAGGGAGGTTCCCCCCTCACCTGCCCATCCTCTTCTCTGTCAGAGAAGAGAACTTCGCAGCTCTGCCTATAGAGCCACCAAAGCGGCAGGTGGAGTGCCAGAGGGAGGGTGGTGAATTCCCCCTAGGAATTGCATTTCTTTCTTTACCTGATTCCCAGTACTGTACCATTTCTCCTTCGCAATCTGCCGCCGCCGTGTGCAGGGAAACAAAAGGGTTTTTTGGGGAAAAAAAGGTCAATCAATTCCAACTTCTTGCGAAAAAAAAAAGATCTCGCGAAGTTGGAATTGATTGATTCACCTTTTTCCCCCCCAAAAAAACCTTTTGTTTCCCTGCACGCAGCAGCCGCAGATCGTGAAGGAGAAATGGCATGAGGCTGGGAGTCAGGTAACCAAAGAAAGGCAATTCCTGGGGGAAGCAAGGATTTCTTTCCTTACCTGCCCCACTTGTTCCAAGGCCACTTTCCGCCAAGTCGCATCGCGCTCACCAATGGTCCACCTACCTTCCCTGAGCCTCCAGCATTCCACCTGCCACTTTGGTCAGCCTGGCGGCCCCCACCTCAACACCCTGCCCGTCGCTACCCAGCAGTCGCCCCAGGGCTGTAGGGGCTGGCCTGGCACAGGAAGGGCATGTGCCCCTCCCCCCCACCACCACACAGTGTAAGGTTCCCTCGTTTAGTGCTTTTATACTCCAAAGTTCCATCTGTTATTGCATTAAAGTCTCCCACTATACAGAGATTTTGATAGTTCAATTCTAATTTTTTAATGTAATTTTTGATAAAATTGTTCTTGCATATATTGCTACCATCAGTATCTGTTTTTGATCCATCATTATTTCCACCATTAATATTCTCCCCTCTTTATCCGCATAAATTTGTTTAGGGTTCATTGTTTCTTTAATGTATAGAGCTATTCCTCTTTTCTTTTGAAGTGCTAATGCAAAGTGAAGTTTACCAATTTTCAGTTGTTTTAACAACTTATAGTGTTGTCTCAAGAATTTAGAAAGTCTGATTTAACTTTTTTTTTTTTTACCGGTAGTCCCACAAACACGCGGTGAAGGCTGAGAAGCAAACAGAGAAACGCAATGCAGCTGAAAGGCAGGTTAGTAAAAAAAATGCTTGAGGGAGGTGAGGGCATCTGGGTGGAGGCAGAGGCGGAAACCTTACCTGCGCAGCTTCAGTACATGTCTGGCAGGCAGAGGGAAGCAACTTGTCCGCCACTATGCTCTCGCCGCCGCATTGCTTCTCCATCCCATGCACAGGCCCCGCCCCACCCCCACACGCTTGCAGCCTACTGGTGCCGGTACCGGCAAAAAGTAAGTGCTCCCCCAAAGCAAAACCTAGTGCTTACTTCAGAGCCCAAAAGAAAGTAAGACAGGGAAACATGGTAGTACCCAGCAAAACAAGAATACGGGGAAAACACAAGAGACAAAAAGCTTACAGTTGCTGGAAAAACACCCTATTGATCTCTTTAGGAAAAAAACACCTCAAAGTGCAGTATCAACAGAATGTTTAGAAGCAAGACATTTGCAGTTGTTATTTTTATACACTGCTAGTACCTGGGGAGGATCACATGGAGAGCTTTGTGCAAAGCAATTATCTTCAATCTTTATCTGCTCATATGTGCGTTTCCTTGGGTTTCCATCTAGAAATTAAAAATTAAAGATTTAAAAGTCAAGTATAAAGTTATACAAGCCATAAAAGGCTGCATATGAAATTTACTTACACAAAGCTTGTCTAAGTTGTTCCAATACATCTTTTTCATAAACAGACCTTTCTTCCCAAATAGACAGCACACGGCCCAGATGCTTTTTGCAGCTATCATCAGTTTCACTATGATGGGAAAAAGTCATCAATAGAAATGGAAGAAAAACAAGTAAACAGAAACTTATCTCAACAAACTTCTATACACCTTATTTGTTTTATACGAATTTATTTCAAGTCACCATGTTTTAATAGATTGTTATCTGTATTTTCAGTCAGAAAAACAAAAGTTTCTGCATATCTGAATAGCTCCCATATGTTAACTCTTTTCAATTTTTGGTGATAGTATGATCTTTTAGGCATAACAGGATTTTCTATTGGAAGTTCATCATATGATCGTTTCAGATGTCTGAATCTTGATATCCACATTGTTAAGATTAAATAATGCTGCTTACAAACCTCTGGTCCAATTAAAATCATACATTGTTATAGATTTAGCCTTACAACAGTCATCCTTCATCTATGCCAATTACAAGTCCAATTCTATACACACAAACACACACACACACAACCCTTCCATTACACACACACACACACTTATGCATTCACTTTAGTTCCATTTTCTAAATCAAATCAAACCAAACAGCAATCTATATGTCAAACTTTCATTATTCTAGGATGATGATTTTTGCCCAGAAAAAAATAGTTCTTTAGATTAATATACTGAAAGGAATGTACTATACCTGGATACGTGTTTAAAAGCTCCCACTATGACAGGTGCAAAATCTTTTGTAAACTCTGGTCCTTTTCTTTTGCTATTCTGAATAACATCATTAGCCAGATACAAAAAAGTTAGCTTCCTGTTTGGTTTGGCTAAAAAAAGAAAGAAAGAAAGAAAGAAAGAAAGAAAGAAAGAAAGAAAGAAAGAAAGAAAGAAAGAAAGAAAGAAAGAAAGAAAGAAAGAAATGATTGTAGAAATCTAAACTAAATTGAACAGTTTTTGTCAAATTCATATTTGCATACGAGATAATAAGACAGTAATTCTGTACAGTAGTTTCAAATCCAATATGCTAGTTATACTGCAGCGCTCTCTTTCTCTCTCTCTCTCCCCCCTCCTTCCCTCCCTCACCTCTCCTATGTAACATATACTATATATGTTAGTCATTTGGGTTTCAAGAAGACATGCTGTTGTGCAGTTCATCTATAAATATATAGGTGGCTATACAGTTCCAGTGCAGAGTCTAGCACAATGGGAACATTGAAAGTCCATTGCTATAGTAATTCCGTGTGTTATTCTGTGACATCATTACAGCTTTCTATCAATTTGGTGGCGCCTGTCTTCAAAGCCAATGCAGGTTTTAGAATAGAGGCCTTGCCTCTGGGTTCTGTCAGCTGCAATTTCTAGTTCCCTAAGCTGGATGTCACAGTGGTGCAGGATTTCATTCATAGTGTTTTTGTAGCACTTGCATGGTTGACCTCAAGATCTTTTATGGACTCCACTCACTATAAAGCAACTAGCAAGGCATACAATGATCATCCATTCTGATGATGTGTCCTAGCCATCTCATCTGGGCTCTGAAAATCAGGGATTCAATGCTGATGGACTCTGCATGATCCAAGACCTTGAGGTTGGACTTCATGATGAAATGACAGGGCAGGTTCTTTACAGCGGTGAAATATCAGTTGCATTTGCCATTTCCAATGTGTGTAGCCCCAGTCCTATTCAATCTGTGTTTTGCTTGTATGTTGTTACATGCTGTAAAAGTAGTCTCTGACTTACAACCATTCATTTAGTAACTGTTCAAATTTACAACACTGAAAAAACTGACATGGCTGCTGTTTTCATACTAGAATAGAACAGAATAGAGCTGGAAGGGACCTTGGAGGTCTTCTAGTCCAGCCCCCTACCATCTCAGACAAGTGACTGTCTAGCCCAGAAGTCCCCAACCTTTTGGGCACCAGGGACCAGTTCCATGGAGAAAAGTTTTTCCATGGACTGGAGAATGCATGGTTTTGTGTGCTGCCTGCATGCCACAGATGGGGCTTTGTTTGTTTGTGTGGACCAGTTGTTGGCATGCCATGGCCTGGGGGTTGGGGACCCCTGGTCTAGCCTTTTCTTGAAAATCTCCAGTGATGAAATGCCCACGATTTTGGAGGCAAGCTGTTCCACTGGTTAATTGTCCTCACTATCAAGAAGTTTCTCCTTAATTCCAGGTTGCTTCTCTCTTTGATCATTGTTTCTTGTCCTGCTCTCTGGTGCTTTGGTGAATAACGTGACCCAATCTTCTTTGTGGCAGCCCCTCAAATACTGGAATACTGCTGTCATGTCTCCCCTATTTCTTTTCTTTAGATTAGCCAAACACAAGTCCTGCAGCCATTCTTCGTATGTTTTAGTTTCCAGGCCTTTGATCATATTAGTTGCTCTTCTCTGAATTTTTTCCAAACTCTCAACATCTTTTTCCTAATATGGTGACCAAAATTGGCTGCAGTATTCCAGGTGTGGTCTTACTAGGGTTTTATAAAGTGGTACTAATACTTTGCATGTTCTTGATTCTATTGCTGTTTATACAACCCAGGATTGTATTAGCTTTTTTGGCTGCTGCTGCACGCTGCTGACTCATAGTCAAGTGATTGTCCACTAGGACCCCAAGGTGCCTCTCACAGTTACTGTTTTTAAGCCAGGTCTCACCTAATCTGTACTTGTACCTTTGATTTTTCCTGCCTAAATGTAAGACTTTGCTTTTCTCCACATTGAAACTCATTTTGTTGGATAGGGCCCATTGTTCAAGTTTGTCAAGATCTTTTTGGATCCTGAGTTTGTCTTCTGGGGTGTTGGCTACTCCTGCCAGTTTGGTGTCATCTGCAAATTTGATGAGTTCCCCTTCAATTCCCTCATCTAAGTCATTTATGAAGATATCGAAGAATACTGGGCCTAAGACGGAACCTTGTGGTACCCCACTGCTTACTTCTCTTCATGTGGATGTAGTGCCGTTGAGGACTATTCATTGAGTACGTTTTGTCAGCCAGCTACAGATCCAGCTGGTGATGATGTTGTCTATTCCACCTTTTTCTAGCTTACCAAGGAGTAGGTTGTGGTCTACTTTATCAAATGCCTTACTGAAGTCTAAGTATACTATATCCACAGCATTTCACTGGCTTACTAGTTTAGTCACTTTATCAAATAATGAAATAAGATTGGTTTTAACAAACTCGTGCTGGCTACTAGTTATAACTTTGTTTGCTTCTACTTGTTCGCAGATCTGTTTTTTGATTATCTTTTCTAGGATCTTCCCAGGTATTGATGTTAAACTGATTGGTCTGTAGTTTTCTGGGTCTGGTTTTTTCCCCTTTCTTAAAGATGGGAACTAAATCAGCCCTTTTCCAATCCTCAGGTACTTCCCCGATGCTCCAGGATTTGTGAAAGATATGGTGCAATAACATCTGCCAGTTCCTTCAGAATGACTAATGACTGTTGTAGTATTCTCATGGTCAGGGGTAGGCAACCTTGGCTCTTTTATGACTCGTGGACTTCAACTCCCAGAATTCCTGAGCTAGCCATGCTGGCTCAGGAATTCTGGGATTTGAAGTCCATGAGTCATAAAAGAGCCAAGGTTGCCTACCCCTGACCATGGTCATGTGATCAAAATTTGTGTGCTTGGCAACTGGCATGTATTCATGACACTTGCACTGTCCTAATGATGTGATCACCATTTTAACCTTCCCAGCTGGCTTCCAAAAAGCAAAGAAATGGGGAAAGCTAGATTCACTCAACAACTGCATGATTCACTCAACAATTGCAGTGATTTGCTTAACAACTGTGGCAAAAAAAAATTGTAAAATGGGGTGCAACTTGTTTAACAACTATCTTGCTTAGCAATGGAAATTTTAGGCTAAATTGTGGTTGTAAGTCAATCACTACCTTACATTATCTGAAGAAGGGTATATCAATCAGGTACTGATTGGACAACTCTCCCTTTGACCTTTATTTCACCTGTATTTATTCGTTTACTTATTTATTCATTAGATTATTCATTACCTGTTTTGTTACAAATGACTCTGGGTGCTTACAGCATAATAAATAATAAAAACATTAAATAATATAAACATTAAACATTGAATATAAAATGATAGACAAAATAATTAATGTAAGATGGAAAAAGAGGGAGCAGGAATGAAGGTGGAATTAGCTTTTGATTACTCAACTACCTCCAGTGTCAAGCTGCCCCATAGGGATCCCAACCCATCTTGCAGAATCAGGTTTTATGAAGTCAGGAGGGTGGGAGCCAATCTTACCTCAGAGGGTAAGATGTTCGAAAGGGCAGGAGCCACAGCACAGAAGGCTCTTCTCCTGCACCCCACCAGCCAAAATTCTTTGACCAACAGCTCTGCCAGCATGGGTGGAGTGGGCCAGTCCCACTAAGATAAGACAGTTCCTCAAGTAACCTGGAACTATGCCATGAAAGGCTTTATAGGTGATTACCAATACCAGCAGTGGTGTAACATGGGCCACTCTAGGGGCTCCAAGAACTGACAACGCTGCCATACTCTGCGCCAATTGTAGCTTCTGAATACTCTTCAGTGGTAGCCCCATGTACAGCACTGCAACAGTCCAAACATGAGATGATTAGGGCTTGAGTGATTGAACACAGGGATTCCTGATCCATGAAAGGCTGCAACTGATGCACAAAATGGAATAGAGCCTAGTCGTTACTGCCACTTGCTCTCTGAGCAGGAGTCGCAAGTCCAAGAAAATCCCCAAGTGGCAGATCAGGTCTATCTGTGGTAATGCCATCCCATCCAGAACTAAAGAAGTTAAAGTCCTACATCTTGAAGCTCTATGCACTCGGTTTTGCCAGGGTTCAGACGAAGCCTGTTGTCCCTAATCCAGGCCCCCACAGCCTCCAGATATCCCAAAGCATCACTTGGATCACTAGGGGTGGAGATATAAAGCTGAATATCATCAGCATACTATTTATACCTCAATCCATGGTGACGGATGATCACATCCAGTGGCTTCATGTAAAAGTTAAAAAGGAGTGGAGAAAGTACAGAGCCCTGCGGCATCCTACAAAGGAGTGGACAATCATTCCTCATTCCCTATCAACACAGATTGGGACAGACCCTAGAGAAAGGAGCTGAACCAGTGCAAACTGCACTACCCAGCCCCAAACCCATAGTGACCCAAAAGGATATCACAGTCGATGGTATCAAAGGCTAATGAGAGGTCAAAAAGAGCAAGGATGATTGCACTATCCCATTCCACTCTTGCCAGCAATCATCAACTAATGCAGCCAAATCTGTTTCTGTCCCATAACCGGGCCTGAATCTGATTGAAAAGGCTCCAGAAAATCATTTGTCAACAATAACCTGGTGTATGTTATAGTAATAGAATTATAATATTATTATAATCATATGTTATAACATAATACCATCATAAATAATATCTTTGTTCAAACTATTGTGCCTTAGTCTCATATACAGATAAAGCATGGTAAATTGATTAAATCAGATTTAACTAGAACCTTCCCAAATCCTTTATTCTATATCTTACATATCTATTTCATACATTCAGCAATGCTTCAGATCCAGCAGATAACAGCTCATGAAAGTGTACTAAAGAAGCCATAACTGGTATCTGGGTATAGCAATGGTCTAGATAGGGACTAATAAAATAAGATTTAATCCAAACAAGACTGAAATGCAGTTGACCATTTGCACAAGTGAAATCCCCACACCACATAGAAGTAGTGATGTCCTGTTCTGAAACAGAAACACTTTTGAAATTCTGTTTCTGAATCATGGACAGGGGCAAAAATACCTTCACAAAGCTTTGCCTAGCTACCATGTTTCCTCGAAAATAAG